ACCAGGATGTAGATGTCTGAACGTTAAGGTAGAAGGCTTGCAGATGAGTTTGTCTCCTTGAACCATGTAAATGAAACTAGAACACATCACAGATGACAGCAAATGAAATCTAGAAGTTTTAATTAAGTCGTGTGTCCAGAAACTTCTCCTTCAGAGATCAAAGAAATAATTGTAGCTGTTAAAGGTTCTTATCATTGATCTGATGGTCACGAGTATATTCTTTAGACTGGCGCTAATTAATTGTCATAACCAAGTGTAAATTGTCCGTTACAAATATAGCCTTGCTATTGAAATAAATTAATCTGCTAAGGTATTTCTCTTCATTAGGGTGAACGAGTGAGCTGCTAAAACAAGACAGAAAGTAATCTTGCGTTATTGATAGCTGTTCTTCGATGTCTCCCGAGTGAAAAGAAATTAATTCTTTTTGGCGTTTGAACTAATCCGTTGCGGTATGTGAAAAGACTAATAAAAGATCGAATATTGATTACTGGGCGACCTTAGTTGTAGAAGCCAACAACCTTCTACGTCCTTGTCCTTCAGCAAGGTCGTGTACATCTTCTATAGACGAAGCTAATCGAATTTGCAAATGACTGCTGCCTACTTTGGCGGGAAATGTCATCTCCCCGTCAAAACAAATTGTATGCTATCAATAAAACGTTTATTATAAGGAATATACCTACAAGTTATTGAAGCCTGTTATTATTGACGAATCTTAATTAAAAATCAAATGAAGTATGATTGAAGGGTGAATGTATTCTCGGCATGAGATATTGACAGATATTAGCTGGAATACTGAATACTGAATACTTAAAGTATCTATAGCGTGTATACTCCTCTTCGTGTTGCTGGTTGTCATGTAGTATATTATCCAATGACATTAATGATAGTATTGCCTTTAAAAAAATATTTTTTTTATCGAATTCTCGTCAGTTAATTATTAGAATATTGCATTGGTGCATAACAATACATTGAAGATTATATAGTTCAAAATAAATTGAAAAGAGTTTTATAGTATAGTTAGTAAATAGTTACACCCATTTAAATCAGCCTATTCCATACAGAACCATTACGCGTGAACTATTGCAAGCTTTTGCTGTTCATAGAACCCTATTGAGTCAGTGTGGTCTATAGAGGACCATTAAGTGTGAACTATTGACGGCATTTGTTGTTCGTAGAACCCTACTGAGTCAGTGTGGTCCATAAAGAGCCATTAAGTGTGAACTATTGTGGGCACTTGTTCGTAGAAGCCTATTGAGTCAGCGTGGTCCATATAGAACCATTGAGTGTGAACTATTGTCAGCACTTGTTGTTCGTAGAACCCTACTGAGTCAGTGTGGTCCATAGAGAACCATTAAGTGTGAACTATTGTGGGCACTTGTTTTTCGTAGAACCCTGTTGAGTCAGCGTGGTCCATAGAGAACCATTACATGTGAACTATTGTCAGCACTTGTTGTTCGTAGAATCCTACTGAGTCAGTGTGGTCCATAGAGAACCATTAAGTGTGAACTATTGTGGGCACTTGTTTTTCGTAGAACCCTATTGAGTCAGCGTGGTCCATAGAGAACCATTACATGTGAACTATTGTGGGCACTTGTTTTACGTAGAAGCCTATTGAGTCAGCGTGGTCCATAGAGAACCATTACATGTGAACTATTGTGGGCACTTGTTGTTAGTAGAAACCTATTGAGTTAGCGTGGTCCATAGAGAACCATTAAGTGTGAACTATTGTGGGCACTTGTTGTTTGTAGAAACCTTTTGAGCCAGCGTGGTCCATAGAGAACTATTAAGTGTGAACTATTGTGTGCACTTGCTGTTAGTAGAACCCTATTGAGTCAGTGTGGTCCATAGATAACCAGTACATGTGAACTATTGTGAGCACTTGTTGTTCGTAGAAACCTATTGAGCCAGCGTGACACATAAAGAACCAGTAAGTGTGAACTATTGCGAGCACTTACTATTCGTAGAAACCTATTGACCCAGCGTGGTCCATAGAGAACTTTTAAGTGTGAACTATTGCGAGCACTTGCTGTTCGTAGAACCATATTGAGCCAGCGTGTCCATATAGAACCATTAAGTGTGAAATATTGACGGCGCTTGATGTTCGTAGAACCCTATTGAGCCAGCGTGTTCCATAGCGGACTATTAAGTGTGAACTATTGACGGCACTTGATGTTCGTAGAACCCTATTGAGCCAGCGTGGTCCATAGAGAACCATTAAGTGTGAACTATTGCGAGCACTTACTGTTCGTAGAACCCTATTGAGTCAGCGTGGTCCATAAAGAACCATTAAGTGTGAACTATTGACGGCACTTGCTGTTCGTAGTCGCCGTCATCTACAGTAATCAATAGCCTGTTACTGCAGAGGTTTTAAGTTCGAACTCCGCACGTGGCAGGTGTGTGAACTATTGCGAGCACTTACTGTTCGTAGAAACCGATTGACCCAGCGTGGTCCATAGAGAACTTTTAAGTGAGAACTATTGCGAGCACTTGCTGTTCGTAGAACCATATTGAGCCATCGTGGTCCATATAGAACCATTAAGTGTGAAATATTGACGGCACTTGATGTTCGTAGAACCCTATTGAGTCAGCGTGATCCATAGAGAACCATTGAGTGTGAACTATTGACGGCACTTGCTGTTCGTAGAACCCTTTTGAGTCAGCGTGATCCATAGAGAACCATTGAGTGTTAACTATTGCGAGCGCTTGCTGTTCGTAGAACCCAACTGAGTCAGCGTGGTCCATATAGAATCATTGAGTGTGAACTATTGACGGCACTTGCTGTTCGTAGTCGCCGTCATCTACAGTAATCAATAGCCTGTTATTGCAGAGGTATTAAGTTCGAACTCCGCACGTGGCAGGTGCGTTCGACTTCAATCTTAATTGACTAGGATTGCCAGTTTTCCTGCCGAAGGACGATAGTTCATACGGGCACTCCTCCGTCTATATAAACTGGCCGTATACAAATAGCCAATATTGTGCTGACAGTGGCGATAAACATCAAATAATCAATCAATTAATCTGAGTCGCCAGTTCATATTCATCGTTTTTTTTATAACATTTAAATCTCTTGGTCTATTGACGCAGTATAACTTTTAAAATCTATAAATTGACAAAACTATATAATATGTTATTCCTATCGGAAACATGACAGCAAGGACAATTTTTATGCTATTTAAATGGGGGAATTTTAAAATGTGTTAAAAGTGAAAAATTTACAGGAAATATAGGTTGGAAACTGTCAACAAAGATTCGTAATTTCCCAGCTCTGTTAGAATTGAAGTATTTACCTATATGTGTACATGTATGTCTTGATTGAACTTGTGTAAGACTGAGGTTGAATATTTTCCTTCTACATTGTGCAGCTGTTATCCTTTCATATCATCACAATGCATATTGAATAGGAAATATTTCTGTCAAGTCTTGTCACGTTCAATCTACTATTTACATTACGTTTGTAAACAAATAAGATCAATTTTATGAAAATGTATTTTTAACATTGAAATTAAAAAAAAAACACCATATTTGGCAAATTAGGTGACCGAATATTAGAATAATAATAATACAATTACAGTCAAGGAAACAGGAACCAGGAAGTTAAAACGTAATCCCTTGTTAACCCAGGGGCATATTTAGTGCAGTAATTTTCCTTGTGTTAAAGTATAATGATCTTATTCTCTAAAATTGTGCTTAAAAGTCGAAATTGTTTAAATATTAAATACTACTAAATGCCCTAATGAAATATGAATGGTTCTTCCTGGTTTGGGTAATTATTCTATAACATGACCGGTTCACAATAATTGGGTGGGAACCAAATTTTACTCGATTGTGTCTAGCATCTGCAATTGATATTCGAAAATGATGTCAAATTCGTATAAAGCATGATCACATAATGAAGCCATACACCTCGCTGTGATTTGGCACGACAACTGAATCTTATTTAAGAATTAAATGGGTCATTCTCATGTTTACGATGGTCAAACATGGAACAAACGTGGCCATACTCACGCGCAGTGGTGGCGATCAAACCTGATAGAATAAACATTAAGGTGATTTACCTTAAATGTATTCCATGTGTCGTTATTGTCTGTCCTATATTAGTATTATACCTGCAGCAATTTTTGTTTTCTTTCGATTTTGTTTTATCTCCGTTCGGCGAATTGAGCGAGTGCAAACTCAGGAGAATGGGATAATGGCAATTTATTTATTAGTATAACCATGAAAGTATTATATTGTCAATATAATACTTCCATGCTATAACCAAATTATGCTTATACAAACTGGAAAACACAGAAAATTGCCAGATTGTTTCTTGATTTTCTTACAGGTTATACCAGTTTTGGTAAGCATAGTTCAACAGAATCTTAATTTATGTGTAATCAACACCCCCTTGTCACAGTTTTCAAATCCGAGCCTTGAATGAATCGACAATATGTAATCATCGGATGTCTATGGAATATTATATACCTAAAGAAGAAGAAGGAATCACTTGATAATTGCCATTAACAGATATTTATGAATTTTGTAAGAAAATATAGTTTTACTTATTTCAAAACTTGTGACTAAGGTGGAAGATGTTAAGTCATTAATATGTCTAATTTGTTCGTCCGTCCGTCTGTTCGTCTATCTTCCAAACTTCTCTGTCCGTCAGTCCTGACAATCCGTTTGTTCGTTGGTTCGTTCATTCGTTCTTACCGTTATCCATGTGTGAGTTCAGTTGCATTTGCTATTCCCGATTCTGTTTCAATGTATGTTTACAAATATCATAGTTAGTACATTTGGTTCATCCGGTTTTATGGCAGTGCTATCAGAAACTAAGGCGCTAATAGTATAGAAATAAACAGTTTTATATAGAATTTTGATTAAAAATATTTTATATTATACAAATTCAAAATAGATTGATTTGAGTTCTCAAGATCAAGATCAAGATATTTATTTACCTCGGAGGTAAACTATAAATATATATATATACAAAGTTATCAGGAAGCTTAAAAGTCCTTGTAATGACCTTGAAGTTTGTTTTGTCCTTAACTTGAATCATTGCCTAATATACAATATAACAAGTATCAAATCTCGGTAAGTTTATACAAATATGTCATTAATATTTTATAATATTTGTCCAATGTTGATAAGACCCAACATCAAGAAGTTTGTACTGAACTACAGTGTAGTATAATATAATAGAGACGTACCGTTGTTTTACTCATAAGTTAAAAAACATTACACGCTATAAACAAATTTTCATTGAAAAGTGAGCTTCTATTTTGGATATACATTACAAAAAGGCAGAGAAGATATTCAAGTGGCAAGCAAAGTTCGTGTCGAAGAAAAACCCAAATCACCATAATAAAAACGATAAATTACGAAAAGAAAAACAAATCACTGCATATAGAAAACCTAAATACTGAGCAACACAAATCTCACCGTCTGTCCGTGTTTTCATGTATGGAATTTTCGTTGCATTTTTCTCAGAAACTGCAAACTGCTTTCCTAAATTCGGGATAAAGCTGCTAACATGTGATGAGTTTTTACATCTATCACTCACCAACTTGGATAAGATAAGATAATTTTATTGGTTCAAAATCCAAAATTATAGGATTGTTACCAAGACAATACATAAACATACAAACAAAATCTGACCACATTATAAACATTATATATATATAACTGTATATCCCCTCCATTATTAAAAAAAATATTGTTACAATAATAAATGAATGTATATAATCTCTGCTGAGGAGGTGGTACCACAAAGTTATTAAGTACTCAATAAAGCATTTCTAGAATTATACATGGTGCTTATGAATTTTACAATGATTTTAATTATATCAGTCTCACCACAGGTATACAAAAATTTAAATCTTGCTTCATTAGTCATATTTAAAAAAGAGGGAACTATTTCACTAATTTTGGAAAATAATTGTTCTCTGATTGTATTTAGTTTTGTACATTTTATAGTGAAATGAAATTCATCTTCTACTTCTAAAAGACACAAGGGACAAATTCTTTCTTCTACAGGTGTTTTAGTGTGTCGTCCTTGTTCAATTTTAAGAACACTATTACTTATGCGAATTTTGGCAAAATGTCCTATTACTTTTCTGTCAATATTTAACAATAAATAGGTTTCCAATTTGTAATTTTCTTTAAGCTGCCTATATGTTCTGAGCTTATTACCGTGCAATGATTTATCATCACAAAATATATTTTCTTTCCAATAATTCAGATATCTATCATTAAGTTTGGTATGAAGTGCATATAATAAACGCCTTTTTGAAATAGTATCATGATTTTCCCAAACATGTGAAAAATTTAATGTAGCAAGTACAAATGTAGCTGTTCAATCTTTTTCGCAAATCCATTGGTTAATTGCAGGTTTGAACTATATACATCTTTAAGTAAACAATTATTACCAGATTTTATCACATGCAACCAGAAGCCAATTGACAGTTTTAATGCTTCTATAAAAACTGGATACATACCAAGTTCAGCTAGTACTGCTAAATTGACAGCTGTTTTATTTACTCCAATTAAGGTTTTTGCAAATTTAATCTGAATTTTATTGGTAGCCAATGACCAATATTTTGACTCTAGATTTGTAATATCTTTAATCATATATAGAGACCAAACTTCACTACAATAAAGAAGTATAGGTTTAACACAAGCATTTGGTGTTTAACGATATATTTATAGCAAGAGTGTCATTATTGAACAGTGTTACTGTTCTCTTTTGTGTCGTAAAAACCATTATCACAGGTTAATTTGTCTACACAAAAGTTACGTCACATTTTTTGAACATTTTTATGCATTAGCAGATTTTTTATAATCACGGAAAAATCAAAAGGAAATTGAAGTGTGTCTATATATTTCTTTCGAGCTGCTATATTTAGTTCCTGCATTGAAGGAAGTATCTACACCAGTTCATATCTATAGGTCATCATATTGTACTGGTCTTTACCAAAAATATATCTAACCTCTAAACCAAATTACCTAACAACAACATGGGTTTGGTTTAACAAATAAAATACGAAGGAACAGCAACGAATGAGGAGAATTCTAATCGGATGTCAATGATGGAGCAGGAACTGTTGACCGTTCCGTACAGATCGCAGTGGTGGTGTGGTTCGTGGTTGTTAATCGTTCTCTGTGTATAGTGTTTTATGAACGGTAGTTTTTTCTGTTAGTCTTATATTCATATTTTCGCATGCTATATTTCTTCTACGCATATGTAGTTTTTGGTCGCCAATTGGAACCGGTACTTTCCCCTTACTTTTTAGAATTTCTTCCTGTTTTGGTCGCCCCATTGTTATATCCCCACCGTTAGAAGTTTTTCATCCTGTTGTTAGTTTAATATTTATGCATTTGTTAGTACAAATCCAAAAAGGTGACAAAATATAGGAAAAAAATGAAAATAATATTAGCGTTAATTCCTAAGTACCTGTTTTGGCTGTACAAAAGCCACTTTGACAACAATCTTTGAGGAGTTTATAAACAATGTTAAAAGTATTCATAAAAAACGCAAGGGCTTACATGGTTGAAATCTGGGACAAGTTTAGTCTAACAACAAAATTGTTAAACAGAATTATGTTTGCACTGGACCAGTTATAGGACAACGCCGATTTTATGTGAAAAATAGAAATGTTACTACATAAGTGGTTAAGATCTACTAAAAATATTAGTTTACATCGTTCCTTTGAATTATCATTAAACGTAAACTCATAAATCTTTAATCTCTATAACTATGTAAAATATTTTCAGGAAAAAGTTAATAATAAATAGAAAAAAAAAGAGAAATAGAGAAATAGAAAAGGAAGACACACACAATGTTATCCTTTAGGACGTTTAATTCATGGATGAAGGATTATCTGACCAGGTTTTATAGTTCAGGTGTCCCAATTCCATCCGGACCGGACTGCGTATTAATAAACGGACTTCATTTTAGCAGTGCATAGGTTTTACTGCTGTAATAAGAAGCCTAGGGATTACCATATAGATTCTTATCGTTGTCAACCCTTGGAGTCTTGTGTAAAACACCATATATCATAGTCTTTATCATTTGTTCATTGCTCAAATAATTATTTGACCAGAAATGTCATATTAGTGTATAGTTGGTGAATATTTAATACACTGAATTTATTGTAACCTTATCCTCAATATGTCGACTTTTCCTGTGGTATGAAAATCCGGTGAAAACCATTGACCTTGGACAAACAAAAAATTACATATTTTAAAAGTGCAACTATATAGGTCTGACATTGATACAAAAATGAATAACTATGTCAAAACTTCATAGATTTTTATCAAACTGTGGACTGAAGCTTCTTCATATTTCACAGAAGCAACCCGAGATAAATTTTGATTTTAACATTTGGATTTATTTCAGTTTTTTTTGGGGGGGAGTCGATTTTCTTTTTTCGATACTTTTGCAAACGAAGTTTATCAGTATGTATATCTGATAATGTATGCATGGTCAGTGTCGAAGAACTGACTACTGGTCATTCCAAAGAGCAGGACAGACGCTTCCACAGCACTGGTCTTACTGATGGATAGTTTCTAGTTGTGTATCCCAAACAACCCTTCAGATTTTATGATCAATCAGTCATCCAATGAAATTGATACTAGGTGTAGTAAAGAGGAAATACCTGAAAACTTTATAATTTATATGTAAACTATATTTTCAAGTATTAGCTTGGTATTTGTTTAATGTTATGAGGTGTTCCAGCCATTTGTTGCGAAACCATTATAACTATTTGTTTTGTAAAAATGGATTTAAATTTTTGTCAAATTATCAATTGGCACAAGACATGGAATTTATTTTGATCCTTAAGTCCGTTTTAAAATGCATTTGTGTCAATATCATTGGCATAAAACCATAAATCACAGACGTCATGAGTACAATCATCATTAAGATTTATGAAATATTTGTTTGTTTTAATCAAATGTGTAGAGACACACGTAAGCTACAGATTTGGCGGCTGGAACAATTCCAAAAAAGTCTTGTGACCATTGGAAAAGAATCAAAACCACAATTGTCCTTGTACAATTTGAGTAGGAAATTTAGTTTGTGTTTACATACACCCGGAAATGACTTTGGTGTATTGAGATATTTATTGAAAATGTAAACAAATAATAATAATAATAATAATAATAATAATAATAATAATAACACAATAAATATAATGATAAAGAAATGATAAAAACATACATATTTATACATACACTATATGGGCGTTTTGAGTGCTTCACATGTATACAGAAGTGTTAAAGTCTTTTTACAAATTGTTTCATTCGTTGACCGACAACATAATAAAATTGTAATTAGAATCGGACATAACCAAATAATGGGACACTCTTATCAAAATACTTGTAACACGATTAAACAATGGAAATCTTGGTTATATTACAATTGAAACGTCTCGATTGTCGATAATTTCAAAACGACTTGGTTGAAATGGAAATCGAATAATGAGTAAAAATAGATATATAGTTACATACACCCTCGTTTTGAGTTTTAATCACACGAAGAGGTAAACATATACAATCGTGTCAGTAGACCAAGTTGTATCATGTTCCATATATTCAATTCGTGTAACTGAATACTTAAGTAAATGTACACAAAAAGTACTGAATGAAATACCTTCATACCTGGTAGTCAGGTAACGCAATGACAGTGGAGAAAACGATACCCATGTGACACTTCAGATCTGTGTAATGACGAGTGCGCTGTTGGTCTAGACCCAGGAGATAATGTACATAAGACTATAAATCGGTTGACAATCATGATTGGTACTCGGTGACACGACTTTGGACTTTGCCTCTTCAGCGCTGTGCATGTTACACCTTCATGTTTTATGATTCTACCTCGAGCCTTAAACAGTACATGTTGAATATTTTTTTAGATCTTACGTTGTCTTTAGTTTATGGGTTTCCTTTTAGTATAAATATACGGGTATATGTATATAGGGGTTAAGTACCTGTAGATTTATGGTGTATACTTTGTTAGTATAAATATACGGGTATATGTATATATGGGTTCAGTACGGGTTCCGTGTAGATTGTATGGTGTAAACTTGTTAGTATAAATATACGGGTATATGTATATAGGGGTTAAGCACGGGTTCCGTGTAGAGTATGGTGTTAACTTGTTAATATAGATATACGGATATATGTATATAGGGGTTAAGTACGGGTTCCATGTAGAGTGTATGGTGTTAACTTGTTAATATAGATATACGGGTATATGTATATAGGGGTTAAGTACGGTTTCCATGTTGATTGTATGGTGTATACCTGTTAATATACTACTCCTGAAATTGGACGGTATATAACTTAAGTCAGTCAAACGATCGGTCCGTAACAATTATTTTGACGGTATATAGCTTAAGTCAGTCAAACGATCTGCGGATCGGTCTGAATCAACTATTTGCTATTACAAGATTTTTTAAGCAGGTTTGCTATGATTCTGTTTTGCAATTCTGGTCAATAAATGTAACCGTTTTAAAAAGATATGAAATTGGCAGATTTTATATTTCTTGGTAAAATATAAATAACGAAAGAAGTTGTTTTCTTAGTTGAGGGAAATGACTTCAATCCACTAATTATATCAATACTTAACTGGATCAGCTGAACGATATTGATGCAAATAATTGCAATGCGTCTTTTAACCAAATCAAATGTTATCCGTTTTATGAAAGTCGAAAAAATTTCATTATGCTTTCTTTCAAAATTACAAACTATTGAAAACGGTTACTTGAATGCGACGCTTTAAAACTATTTGCACGATTCAGTTGTATGACTATTTCTATAGAGATTGGTAATAAATCAAATTTTCACTTTCGATTTTGCTATTGAAACATAATTAAACTGACTGAAGTTGTGTTTCTGTTCGAACAACTGATCATTTAAATGTTTTATCCTTCATCGATCGATCATCGATTTTCAGCTTAAACATGTACTTTCTCATCGTAAAAGTCGAAGCAAAATCAATCGTTTGCGTGGGAAAAAAATTAGTTTTGATCTCGTGCAGGAAACAATTTTGGTCTGCCAATCAAAATACTAAACAATATCATATCATTTTTCAAAATAACTATGTTTTTTCACTGGAATTGTATATTGGATGCGTAGAATGAGAAAATGGAGAATAGTTTTTGGATCAATTAACTTCGGGGAAATAACAACAATTCGGATACCGATTATTTACAGTATACAAATAATAGATAGATAGGAATAAAAGTAGATGCGGCGTAAATGTCATTTCGACAGCAACCCAACGACATAATAAAAAGAGACATCTATATGTCCACATACCGTTTACGGCCTTCAACAATAAATATGACTGCGATCTATCAAGATACATTATGTATAAATCGTTCCGACTAAGGAGGTTACCAAAGAAGGTTGTCCATCCTTGTTCCGACTAATTTTAGAATTTTTTTTAGATCTCAAAAATCCTCCCCCATTTTATATTGACCAGTTGAATAACAGACTGTAATACAAGATCGTACAATTGAACTCATCATAGATATCAGGCTTATAAATGTGTATGCCAGATCGACGCGTAAAAGTTGTGCCAAAAAAAAATTCCCAGATAAGACTATGTAAATATATGAATTAACCTGCCCCGTGACAAAATGTCGAGGGGCATATTAATGTACCCCTGTCCGTCCGTCCGTTTGTCTGTTCGTCCGGATATAGACACGTGATATGTCTGGCTATCTCCTACAGCTTTAATATTTTGTAGGATGCCTTTACACATAAAAGAAATGTGCATGTCCACAGGATTTTGATTTTTTTCAAATATTCTCAAAATGCCAGGTATTTGGACTCAATCATTTTTTTGGTACTAGCTGCATAAAGAGATCATGGTTTGCCCGGCTATCTCCTACTACAGGTTTTGAGCTACAGCTTTGATATTTTGTATGTTGTTTGTACGCATAAAGGAAGTGTGCATGTCAACAGGATTTTGTTTTGTTTTTTCAAATATACAGGTATTTGGACTTAATCATTTTTGTGTACTAAAATCAGAAAGGGGGATGTTATATATTCACAAAAACCGGTAGTTGGACTTCATTTCCTTCTCACGTGCTATATAATTGAAAACATGGTTTGTAAAACTACAATTTAATGTCCCTAATGCAATAAATAAGATTTTTCAGTATTGTCAAATATTTAATCAATACCTGAAAGTTGAACTTGGTGACTACTAAAACTGGAAAGTTGAAACCTTTTGGCTGGACATTCAGTCCTGCAAGTGTAGACATTCAGAATAAAAATAAAAGATAGATCATCGATCATACATAGTGTTAAATTTCAGTATAATTTCTTATGGTCATTCGGGGGCATCATTTGTGTCTTACAGACGCAACAATTTCAAGTTGTACTTCAACATCTCTGTTTATCAAATCTAAAGTAGGTGGAACTATACTCATGCATAATTTTGCCTTACTATGTCACATGTTCTTAAAAGTACAATGAGAAATCGGTCAATTTGACAATGCCAGTGTTTTTTTATTCTTATTTTGCGTGTAACAAGAGATATTCACATATCATGTGTCAATATTTTTTTCCTAGAAAAGCGCCATCTGCCGGACCAGGAAGTAAATACAGCTGTGACAACAATGTTATTCCTGGAATTAAAAAAAAAGAACGTAAATTCGTTTACATAGCAAACACACAGTATAGCGACAACTAGTCTAACCTTGATTTGCTCAAGGAAAAGTATGATATTTTTTGGCGCAAAAAAAAAATGAAGCGATATAACCCTGGATGAGATACAAAAAAGACGGAAGATTTTTTAATAATATTTACATTCATGTTTGTAAAGCCTATACATTACAATATTATTGCTAGTAGTTTTCTTCTGTTTGCTCAGAAACAACCATACTAATGCATTAAGTACCATAGTAGTAATTACATGAAGCTATGATACACTGAAACAACCCCCTCTGTATTCCTTAGAAATAACCGACTAGTCTCATTAATATGTAAAACTCCTACAGATATAACTAATTGTCTCTTTACACTTATTATGTTATTATAGATGAAGTAACAATTTGGTTAATACACATTGCAGCGTGTTACATCATGTCTGAATGCTTTAAATTTATGTAGGTATCTTATGCCAGCTTTCTGTAACTTTCAAGGTTGTCTTTTAATCTGTAAATCAGCACCTTACTTTAAGCTCTGTGTCATTCACCTATAACAGTCGGTGGACCTTTTCCTTTTTCTATCGTTTTTCTTAAATTGTCTTTATAATCAACCAGCAGTACGTTCTTTCTTTATACATCGGGCATCTTCTTACATTGAACTTTCTACTTTTTATGCCCCGCCGTTACAGGATGAGGCATTAAGTGTGGACGTACGGAC